CATCTTACATGTCATCTAAGCATCTACTTCCCATACTCATCTGTTACCTTTCTGTTTTTCCATTTCTATTTCACCCAAACAAAACTATCATGTCGTCTCGATTTTGGTTCTGGGTGCAATGATCTAAATAATATCTCGGTGATTTTCGCAAGAGTCATCACGCGATAATCTTTAGTTGATTTGTTATGTAGGTGGATATGCAGAATTACTATGTGTACAAGAGAACAGAAAGGTTGAAGGCGAGAAAATGAAAAGGTGGGCGGAAACGGCATGGAGAAACAGCCGCATGTCACTGGACGAGGCACTGAATTTTTCTGAGCCATCGAACAAATGTCCAGTCGTAGATGGTCGAACCAGCAGAGTCATATAGTTAACCTCCAAGGTGAATCTGTGATTGTCCTTGGTTATATATATATATATATATTACCAGAGCTAATCACTCCACAACCACCAATGCAGTAAATCACATATGTTAAGGTACAATGTGATTCTATAATTATAATAAAAGCAAATTTTCAAACTAGTCTTACTGAAGAATTTTCTGCCACGACCAGGATAACCATATGATTACATTTAGGAATCTTGGAGTTTCTTTTGAAGAATTGTAAACGAGTAATAGCAAGTAGGAGACGACCGTGGAGACAATATTTCAGAGAGGAAGATCAAGACCTTTCCCAACATCTACTCCGATGACCTGAAGTATACCCCTGTTGATTATCTGAAAACAATGGTGAAAATTTTCATTACTCGATTATATCAAAGTACGAGAATCTTACAGAAAATTAAGCATAACAGAACTCACCAATTCTATAATGAAAACACCAATTAGGCCAATCATACAAGCTCTAGAGTTCCATGTTTCAGCCGTCTTGGTGAATCCGAGAAAAGGAGCTTGGAACTTCGGCTCCACTTTCGGCATTTCAACCTGAGATTCTCAAACGTTTTCACAACACGTACGTATGTATCTACACCTACTTTTCTGATTCAAATTTAAACGATGTAGAATCAGGTGAGGGAGAAAGAAAGTTAAGAGTTTATATATATACGTACACCGGCAGGAAGCTTTGCAGCTCGAACCCTAAAAAACTTGACTGGACGATTGCTGAAACGATTGCGATTGTTGAGAAACAGGAGTTTGCTATTCTGATTTGTTGAGAAGAGAGAAGATGAAATGAGCGAGGAGGCTGCCATTGTTGTGGTTCTAACAACCACCGCCGGTTCATGCGCAGCTGTTATTATCTCCATCTACTTCCGTACGGATTCTAACGCAGAGAAGAGACTTGTGGTTTTGAATAACTTGAGGCCCACAGGGATGGGCCTCCACTGTAAATACACACACAATAATAATATTAATAAATTATTAAATATAATATTAGTAATATTAAATTGATGCTTATATTATTTTTAAATATTTAAATCGGCAATTCAATTAATTTTTTTATTCTTTTAATAATCTATTTTTTAAAAAAAAATTATGTATTAATATGTTGTTGGAAATCCTCGCGAGATCACAAATTATTCAACGAGACTTTGCACGAATGTCGCCTTTCTAAAAGCACTACAAAAATAATCGAAGAATATCATATGAATTAACATTTCGTTATTACTCGTATAAGACAAAACGAAAACACTCGTATGATAACATTAACCCGTGTATCGTTCCTTCGTGTATATATATATATATATATTTTCAATTAAGTCTTATGAGTTTTTATACCTCTCGTCTAAAAATAAATATTAAGACAAAAAGAAAAATTAATATATTTAACAAGCTAACAATTAAATTATTATTTACGCGAACGTAGTTACTCCAAGTATTATACATCAAGAGAAATCGGTACCTCCTTAGAACGAGATCGAAAACATAATTTTTTATAGTAATAATAATTAAACAACAAGAAAATCGATTTAAGTCTTTCTCTACACTTGCTTGAACGATTTAAGTTGAAGAAAATCGATAGTTAGGGCAAACCATCGATCACTCTCTTCGAGAGTCTGAACTCGAAACTAACGAAACTAACACTATATTCGCTACTTAGTCATAAGTCAATTAATCATTAAAAAAAAAAAAACAATACATTGTTTTACAGATTAAAAATTTTCTTCATTGCGATTAGGAGCTCTACACGACATCTCATACGTATTCGGAGAAACTAACATATGCACTCACCATCCTGCTCATCGTGCATTAACCACATATCCATGAGTGCTATGGGAAGGTGGAAGAAATCCCTGATGTTTGGATTTCTGTAATACCATTTCGGCCGGGTCAATAGATCATAGCAGGAGTTTTTTCTTTCTCTTTGTTTCTATCAAAGAAAGAAGGAAATTGGTAACTGGGTAGGGAGGCTTGGTTGAGGAGGATAAGGTGATTTGAAGTGGCTAAGGAAGAAAAATAGAAGGGAGTTGGGTAGGGGTTAAAGTTGGTTTCTCTTTCTCTTGTTGGAAGACATGTCGAAAAGAGAGATGAGATCAGTGTGGCAATTATTATGGATGTTGATTCGTTCTGTCGACAGGACAGTCACAGGGCTTGGAGGACAGTCATAGTTCTGACCAAACCCTTTTGATTCTTCTTTCATTACCAGATGGCACCAAGCAAGATTTTCCTGAGAAAATGGACAAAACCCATGAATGGAACAGTACCCTTTAATTATATACGTCTGTATATACATATGTGTATGTACACACGCACACACACACACACACCTTCTGATCTTGGTTGAAGAGCTTTGTAATGGATGCTAAGTGAGAATCAGATGCTGATGGAATCAACTCCTCTAAACTGCACCATACGGCAGATACAGCAACAGCACTTGGTGGATACTCCACCAGTTTGCAGTCTGCAGCAGATGTGTAAATAATTGACTGGACATTTTTGTATGAGTTTGAGTTTTTTGGTTAGTCATTTTTTTCACTATCACATTCCAAGTGAAAAAAAATACGGATGCCCATGACTGATTAAGTATCATTTAATATAAAAATTTATCAATAAAGATATTATATATCAGATTGTGATGTATGATATGATGTATATGAAGTTAGTGACTATATAGAATAAACTAGTT